ATCTATCTATCTATCTATCTATCTATCTATCTATCTATCTATCTATCATTTTTACAATGTTACAATGTAAGTGAACCCAGTGTTATGCAGTGTAACATGAGGTTGTCCATTCTCAGAGTAAAACCTTATCATAAGTCTCACTGCTACCTACAGGCAACAAGGTAATACAAATAATTCATGAACAGAAAACTAGTTTCCTTCGTCCCGTGCTGGTCATGTGTACCTGATATGGCTCAATTGCCACTGAGTATGAAGCCCGTTGAACCTATACCAACTTAAACTTTTTTTCTATAAAATAGAAAACCAATCTTTCATTGTTTTGGGTTAGGGTTAGGGTTAGGGCTTGCACAATTCGTGCAACAAGCCCTAATTATGATGTTTATTTGCACAGTTGCATATGAAAACAAAATTACCATGCCTCTTGCTGCCAGAGACTGCTAAGAAACCAGGAGTTCCACAGATTAGTTTTTTTTTCTTTGTTTATGTGACACAGTTCACCATGAATTATGCAAATTTGGTGAGGCTAGCAGCTGGTCCTGAGTCTGATAATTCCAATAGCTGCATTTGCGAAAATGTTGAGGTGGATTCAGAGGCCAAAAGCCTCCCCAGTTTTGAGGCTGGGTCAGTTCTGGTGCTTTAGCTAGATCAAAGTTCCCTCTATAATAGGGGGCCAGGTCCATTGTCAGATCAGCATATCTGCTTGGTGGCGTTATGGCAATTTGAATCATTCATAAAATAATTCCCAATTCAGTCTATTTTGAACATCTCTTTCGATTCTTTTGTTCACTGTTACCACAACCACAGCCAAAAAAGCTTTATAATGTGACTGCTACAGAAATTGCACAAGTATGTATGAGAAGATTAGCCAAAAAAAAAAAAAAAAAAAGCCCGAATTAACAGCCACTTTAGTCACCAGTGCTACCCCTATACCTCCCTGCCAGCCAGACTATCTCGCATGATATTTTAATTTTAACCTGTCAATGGTAAAATGGGCAATATATCATGGGTTAACGCTTAAGGCAATACTGCATGATGTTTGGCTTTTCATCTCCCCTAACTTGTATTTTTTCTGTAGTGTAAAAGCAGACAATTCACATTCTCAGGCAAAAATATTTAATCCAATTTGACAAGATGTGCATTCTGACTCTGACCTGGTAAATCTGAGACAAACAAATAAGGAAAAAAAATCCACTCTTCAACAGCCAGTTCATGAGAAATCAAAGACACTCAGTAACTGAGGTTGCGCGTGACCAATATTATTTTAGATATTGGTAAGACAATTAACCTTCATCTTTGGTAAGGGTTCAGAGTGTTGTGGACCATTGGCTTGGCTTAAAATCTACTATCTTGTTGGGGCGTCGAAAATGTTTGGATTATATCAACATTCTGGTGCTCTGAGGTAAATTATGTAATCAGCCTGAAAGCCTCTGATGATAAAAAAGACTAACATGCATATTTGTAGCTAATATGTTTATGATATTCACCATTTATTTCAAGTTAGCTGTTGTTACTGTTTGCACTCAATAAAAAAGTGCTTTAAAAAATGTTCTTGTCAAAATATCTCCAGTGCTTAGGGAAAGGAATAGAACTTCAAATTTTGCTGAAAACTCACAAATTAAATCGCTCACTACCATAAATCTACCTTTCGTAGTGAAACTGCTTTTATAGTCCTGTCAGTTCTGTGGACTTCTATTTTATGAACTATAAATAACTAAAAATGCCTTTTTCAGTTCTTTTGCCATTGCCAACAGCCCACAAACTGTTTGGGGGCACTGGTTTTATAGAACAGTAAAAATAAAAGATGAATAAACTGTGAATTAAAATGATGTGTCACTCTCAGCAAAAACCATCTGCCTCAGTGTAAATATATAAGACCAGAGAGACAAGTATGAGTCCATGAAAGGCACTGTGTAATTCAACATATACAGTTTTTTCTGTTGCACCAGACATAAAATAACTTTATGGAGGAAATTTATTGAAGCATAATAACAATTTGATCCACACTCACCTTTCCAAATGGAAATTTAGACAGTATGCACACTCAGCTGACATATATAGTCTGTTTAAACTGGTATACTAGTCCACAAATTACTCAGCATACATGCATTTGATGATCCTCTAAATGACCCATCCCAATGAAACTGTTCGGAATAGCAGACAACTTCTCTTACTCCTGAAGCTTTTTTGAGTGATTTTTTCAGGAATATGCCTTTCTCTGAAGCCACATCCTTAGTTAACCTCTTTTCACAGCAATTTTTGTTCGGTTAGTTTTGAAGAATTTGTCTTATACTTCGCTTCCTTTAAACGTCAGTTTCTGGTTCCAATTCTCAAACAGAAAAACAGTGAGTTCTTCCCAGAGCATGTGTTTGTTTTTTTGTTTTTCACTTCCGTTATTGTGACCCCTGCAGTATGCAGTGTTAGGCTCAGCAAACTCTTTTCGACGACTTTAGTTCTTGGTCTTGGCTTTCCACATTTTACTCGGAAAGAGCAGGGGAGGTCAGGGCAAACCTTTCAACGTAATTGGAATGCAGCTTAAATGTGTTCTTCTCATAAGTGCATTGTGCCGTGATACAAGACCTGCAGTTATGTTTCAAGATATCATCCAAAGCACACAAGAGCTGATAGCACATTAAAACCTTTCATCCTGTGCACTTCTAGTAACCCTCGCAAAGCTGACCCTCTGGCCTATCTGTGGGAGAAACACAAACATTCAGCAATCTAAAGTAATCTGCCCATCTCTTGTGCTTCAGTTGAGAGCCGGCAGAGCAATGGGACGCTTTATAATGGTCAATTCTAATCTGATTTTGGTCCCCTTTGCCCTGCTCGCTCTCATTTCTACCTCATGCCTCGCAAACAGTCTGGTGTTGATTAGTGGAATAAAATGCCCAGTAGATGGCATTTCCTTTTGTGAAATTAAATAATAAAGCATTTCACAGGCAAAACTACCTTCATCCAACACTGTTGAATGAATATTCTGGGGTTCAACCAAGTGCAATGACTCACAGGACACACTGACCGCAGAGTTTTGAATGAAGGAATTTAATGTCTCTATCTAGCAAGGTAGTGATGACATTGGTGAAGCACAGGAGAAAAAAGAAAAACATACAAAATGAACCACATCAGAAAAATAAGCAAAGTAGATTATAAAGCAAAAGATGAAAGTACAGTGAATTATTAAGAATAATTAGCACGGTGTCCTATTACTGCTACCTTTATTGGATCAATCCCTGAGTTAAAAAAAAAGAATAAGAAGCAGAAAACCAGAGAAATAAACATTGTAAAAAGTTGGCAGTTTTCTAGATGTCAAGAAAGAGGAGGAGAGTCTGCTTGGATGGGTGCCTGTGTAACAACACACTGCTGATTCCAGACATGGTTGCATTTTCAAGTTTTAATATTTACAAAACAACATCAAAAAAACGTATATTAGCAATATCCGTGTCAGCCGAAGACATAATATCAATGGTGATAGCGATAATACTGAGAATAACTGACTTCAAACAAATGACCACAATTTTTTACCTAAACAAATTCACATTTTTTTTAAAAATAAACATAATGTTGCTTAAGTCTAATACAAAAAAACAAACAAAAAAAATAATGATAATCAAACAAAAACACCAAACACAAAAAAGTGGTATCACATCTTTTACAGGTTGGAGCTGAGAAGAGGCACCAGGTCGCTCTGTGCAAAGGGGGGGAGCCACGTGGGGGGGCCCCCGGGTCCCTTCCCTTTCTCTGGTTGCTCTCTCCTCTATATGATCGCAGGTTCGAGCGCCCACCTCAACTGCTTATTTTACGCATCTACCGTGAGACAACTGGGGGGTTGGAAATTGGGGAGGGGACGTTACCCGGGCTCCAAGGAGGCCACAATGTGACCATTGTGGGCCCCCCTGTTGTGTTTAAGGTGATCCTGTTAAACTAACGATGTATACGGGCCCCCGCGCTAATGATTCCAACCATGCTCGAAGGCAACAGGTTTTTGTACTGCAGTCACCGGAGTGACCAACTCTTCCGGGTCAGTGTCATACAAGGCTACACGCGAACCATCAGCTGGTGCCTGTTATTCTGTTCTCAAACCGGTGCCCGAAGTCACCTTGTAAAGTCCAGGTTTCTTTAGGTTTTTTATCGTAGGGTTTTTTTTGTTCTTATTATTAAATCGGTTCACTGATTCTACCAAAAAATGTCCACTTCTTTTGCTTATACGTGTCAACCCCCGTTATGGTTTTATTTACTTGAGCAAAGATCACCCCTTTCGATTTCTGAGCACATTAATTGAAGCATTTTTTTTTCTTCCAACCAATTACACATTTTTGTTGCACATACACCATATCAGTCTTGTTTTCCTTCCATGTGGCCATTTATTGATTTAAAGGATGATCTCCTTGTTGCTTCATGTGAAAACACAACATATGTCTCTGTTACAATCACAAAGATCATTGAACCACCTGAAAAAGCAAACTTGAAGAAAAAATTTTTTTCAGCTGATTAGTTCGTCAACTGATGTGATTAATACATTTCCGTGTCCCAAGTCCTTCTTTTTTCTACAACACCAAAAGTAATCTGGGGTTTGTTCACCCTACTTTGATTTTTTGTCTTGATTTCTCATTTTCCTCCCCCAGCTCCCCCCTCCTTCCATCCCCATCCCCACATCCTGTTATTTTACAAGACCTGGAACTTCCATGAGTTCTGGTCTTTGTAGTCCAGACAGTCAGCGGCATTGAAGTTGAGCTTCCAGGCAGCTTGGTCTTTGTAGTCCAGACAGTCGACGGCCCCGAAGCCCAGTGAGGCGGCTGTGTAGCCCTGAGAGGAGAGCGAGGCGGGGGACTGGCTGAGGGGCCCACCCATGGAGGACGCCGTGATGGGGCTCAGGGCCCCTCCGGTGCCTGACAGCTGCGGGTGCATCGGAGACAGGTAGGAGCTACAATCCAGGCCGGTGAAGTAGGAGGAGGAGCCCGCGTAGCTCTGGCTGTAGGCCGGTGCCTGGGTGTAGGTCATGGGGTAAGCGGTGGTGCGCTGCATGCAGGGGGTGGTGGAGGCGGACAGGGGGTCTGGCAGCGGAGAGATGGAGGCCGGGCTCCAGATGGACACCGTCGCGCTGGCGGAGCTGGAGCTGGGAGTGATGGCGGTGCCCGGAGGAGGGGGGGGAGGGCTGTAGGGTCCATTGGCGGGGTTGGCACTGGCCTCGGAGTTGGTGTCGCGGGCAGGAGATGATTTCTTTTTGGGGGGCCTCGGCTTGGACTGGCCTGTGCTCTGTTGCTGCTGCTGGCGACATTTGGCACGACGGTTCTTGAACCAAACCTGAGGAATAACACAGATCTCAAATTGTCACAATCAAGCCTTACGGGAAAAAGTTATCTACAGAAGACATTTCGTTTTACTCACACATACACATATGTCACTGAACCACATATGTGTACATGTGTTATATTTTACATTTTTTAGGTGGTACCTGAACTCTAGATTCCGGCAGGTTGATCTTGAGGGCCACCTCCTCCCTCATAAAGATGTCTGGGTAGCGAGTTTTGGCAAACAGAGCCTCCAGGATGTCCAGCTGTGCGCGCGTGAAGGTGGTGCGCTCCCGACGCTGTTTACGCGGGGTGCCTGAAAAGATTATTTTTTATCATCATCATGAATATGATTTGCGTCACTGGCACACAAAGGACATTCATCTATGTCCGTGTTTAACACAGAATCAACGGACATAAATTAGACAATTAAACTGGGCTATTTCGAGATAACAGTTCAATTAAATTGATTTTTTAAAAATCTTCTCACTGTGGAAAATAAAATCGAACATCATTCATTTATAACCTGTTCCTTGGTTGATGATATTTTCTTACAATTCACGTAAAAACTCTGTGAAACTAACTTTTAAGAATACATTTCGATCCGGTCCATGCCATTAATTATTAAATGGGGCCTTGAAATAAAACAGTGCTTCCATCTTTTAGTTACACATTCTAAGAGCGGTCGTTCTTATCGAAATATTAAAAGCAACCAAACTAATCTCAGCCTACGATCCCGATTATGACAGTTGCATAAATATTTAGCTGCTTTTATAATGGTATGAAAAAAGGTCAAGTTTTGGAAAACACCTTCTGTCGACCGTGCCAAAAACCTATGGGGTCGTTTTATTCAAGCCATCGTTACAAAAATGACAGATGTCGATCAGAACCGAACAAAAACAAAAGTGTTGGTTCACCCAAAAAATAAATAAATAAACACAATGACTGCCCCTTTTGTAAATAGGTTGCGCTTAGTGCAACAGATTGCAGGTTACTGTAATTCTGTGAGAACGGGCAGTGTTTCCATTCACACATAATTTCATTGTTTTTTTATGCTTTAATCCGCTGAATTTATAGGTCATGTGAGCACATGTTGTGAAGAGTCAGTGTTTGCAGGCATTAAACTGCACCTTGCAGCTGAAAGAAACAGAAAGCGACTTTAACTGACCCTTGGTTCTTGGCTGTTTTACGCACGAAACATTTAAGAAATGGGAATTCTTTCAGTGCCAGCATTTCCCTGGATGTCCCCCCTCACCTGGCACAGCAAATGACAGTTTTATAAAAAAAACAGATATAAAGAGAATTTTACTTACTGGGATATCCAACGGCGGCGGAGTGGAGCAGATCCATGCCCGGGCCGGACAGCGTTAACCCGTTCACGGCGTAATGGGGTTGCTTAATGTAGGACATCATGCCTCCTGCCTGCTTTAAAACACTCCCTCACTCCCTCACTCTCTCTCTCCTTCTCTCAGACCGGGGGCCGGCACTCCTGACTATAGTGTCCAGGGGGTGTCTCCTTCTCTCTCTCCTATTTTTTCCTCTGGCTCCCTCCCTCTTATTGTCTTTTTTTGTTGGCTGGTTGTCACTTAGTTGTTGTCGACCTTCTCCTTTAACACCTTTTTGCTTTTGCTTCCCCCTTGTGTCACACTGAACCGAGCACCAGAGGGTTGAAACAGTTTACCGCGGTGCGCCTTTTTACACCTGTCTTCACCTGACGCGCAAAACCTCAGTGCATTTCAGATTCAGATTTTTTTTTTTTAAATGACAACAATTCAAGTACACTCCGAGACTATAAACGGATAAGAATCAAACAAAAGCGTAAAAAGGAATAGGGGTTTGTTTAGATAACACCCGTTCTAGTTTTCGATTTCTCCCTCAAAGTCGTGCGTAATAGCAATACGCACCGCGGAGCCAAAAAAGGAGCAGCGCCTCAGAGGCTCGTCGCCCGCAGTCTGACAGGTGGTGAGAAGAGTAAAATGGCCCCGATGCGGACCCTGGTCCCTGACAAGAGGATGCAGATCTGCAGGATGGACAAGTGAGGCAAGCGCGAGGAGACTGGCTAATTAAAAGTAACTTCTTACCCAAGTAGACACCCAGAACCCTCCCTCCTTCCCTGTCACCCACCCTCTCTCTCTCTCTCTCTCTCTCTCTCTCTCTGTCTCCCTCTGTCTTTCTCTCTCATTCTCTCTCTCTCTTTCTCTCTCTCTCTCTTACGCAAACACGCCCGCACATCTTGACCATTATTCATTGTGTATAATTTGCCCCCTTAACATTTATAACTATTGCGCATTTCTATTGCAATTTTCTAAAGTTTAATTTAACTCTCATGCCTCGTGAATCACACAAACTTCACCGGAACACCGCCTTTTTCATTTTTTTTTCTTTAGTCTTAGAAATTAAAACACACAATAAACGCATAAACGGATATTTGTAATTTCAAGTCATTAAAAGGCCTTTAAGAAAATTGCCTCATATAGACGAAACCAAAACTCCTTTCAATATACTTTTTAGGCGCCTTGAGCCTTTACTTGGAAATGGACTCCGTTATAGTTTGTCGAAATTGGCCTTCTAAAATAATTGCACGACCCTGTCTGAAAATGGAGGCAGTGGCAGAGCAACAGAGAAGCAGAGATGGGGATACAGGCAGGATTAAAAGCAGCACAAAGGCCTCGTTGTTCTGCTATTAAATCCCCCTCTGATCCCCAACATGCTCCTTTCATTCATTCATTCATTCATTAATACACCACAGCCAATAATAACAACAATAACTATAATAATTATCATAGTAATAATAAAGTAATAATAAAAAATTGATCTTATTTGATTGATATGAGTTGTAGACGATTGATCAGTTGCTTTCTCACAATATTTTCTTTAGTTAGCCTACAGAAAAGAAGTTGAGTCTTTATTCCCAAATACAAACTCATGTTGTGTTTCGAAAATACTAACAAAAACGGAAAGAAATAGACAACTAGCCCTGTGAATGAAATGTAAAATATCAGAAAAACATCTTCTTCTTCAAAGGGAATACGTTAACTGTATATCATTCATTTCTTTTTGTGTCCAAATGTGTTTTGTGCGTAATTCTTCTCGCTCGGCCTCAGCAAAGCAGAATCGACGGTTCAGCTCGCTATCGGTGCCTTTCTACACAACGTTCTACATGACATCTTGTTTGTTTGTTTGTGTTTGGAGTAATTTTGTTTTATTTTATCTGTCTTACTAGTCAGATCCGGTGTGTATTTAATAACGCTGAGCTGTTTGTCGCCGGGCTAGGGCTAGTTTGGCTTGTGGCATCCTCTGCGCCGAGACAATTTCAGAGTGTCCAAAGCCGATTCTCTGCGCTTGTTAATTGAATCGGATTTCTTATAGTTTAAAATCCACACACGCGCGCGCACACAGACCCATGTAGCTGCAGCCCAAACTGTATAAGGGGTTTATCTAGCTCTGGAAAGCCAAAGCGGACATATAAAGACACACTCAGAGCGACAGAGAGACTTTTGCCGGCGTGTTTGAACATTTCCAAATATCGAATAAAATGTGTTCGACTGCTGCCGAGGCGTGTGTTAACTCCGTGGACTTCTGGTCCTACGCGTGTGTGTGTGTGCGTGTACGTGCGCGAAGGCGTGCAGCTGACGTTTGGATATCTTCGGTGGACGCCTCAGTACCTGCAGGTATGTTGTTTATGATTCGTTTGTTTGTTGTGCTTATTGACATTGTGCGGCCACGGTATAGGGCCTCAGCTTACCGGGGCAGGTATTCCAGCTACCTGCCGGAATGCCTGCAAACGTCTGACATGAAAAAAAAAATCTGTGGAAAAAAACTGCGTCCAGAGGCCTCAGATGTGCCTCAGAGCGCGCGGGGCGCAATGGCGCACGCGCGTCCTCGCGCTCCTGCTCCTTTCAGACGTCTCACTTTGAGCTATTTTACACCATTTAGCCATTTTAGGAAGGGGTAAATAGCATCCTGTATTTTTTTTTTCTCGATCACATACCTTAATCCACAGAATTAATGACGACCTTCGATTTCATTTGCGTGAAAAGACAAACATGTTTTGACAATGATCAGCTTTTCTTGTATGTCTTTTTATTCTTCCCGCACTGTGATTTATTTTTACATGACAGCCTTATGCAAGGTCTAGCAGATTATTGAAATAAGACATTAAACAATGTTTTGTCCTCTAGAAACAGCAAAAGAAAGAAAGTTTTAAGATCCTGATGAATACAAAAGGCCTCCAAGTAGCAGTTGTGCAGTTTTGGTATTCACATAGATGTTAAACATGAAAAAATATCAAATGAAATATATTATATATTATTATTGATATTACACAATGGTTTAATGAAGTGTGATATAGACCCATTATGAAAACGATAACTGGAAATGGCCCTCAAGAGGAAATTGGGAGTGGAACATTTAAAGAAAAAATGTTACTAGCTTTATTATAGATCAGTTTTGCAGTTTTTATCAAGCTTTTTATTAAGTTTTGTTGTTAAAATATATGTGTATTAGTTTTGCCCATATACATTTATATAATCTGTTTTCCCCAGTTAATTTATTTTGAAAGGTATAATCCTATATTGCTGCTTGTGCCTGTAGCCTGAGGTCACTGCATACATTATTATCCTTTCATCACGACAGCAAACTTTAGGCTGTCGTTTCATGAGGAGTGTTTCCCAGTTTCTAGCGAGGAAGATTGCTTCGTGATGCAGGTCTGCTGGTAGTTCGTAGGCACTAGGACCCGGAGCATGAACAAATTAAGGACAACCATCACATAAGAGGCTTAGTGCATCTAATCTATAGTGCTACCCCCCCCCCCTCCCACACACACACACCCATACACACAAACACACACGTACACACACCCACACTCCCCACAATTTCATAAACATCCCATTTTGATGCAGGCACGCACGCATGTCCCCAAAGGCAAACGCTGCTATTGTATTTTCATTTAGTTTTCATTTTCTCCAAACTCTTTTTTATTCCCCTTGTTGACCTCAACTCCCATCCCTCATCGCAGAGAGAACATTTGCCCATATGCTCCACAGTTTTCCCTCATCCTATTTCATTAGCAAACTGACTTCGGTGAACTAAAGAGGCCAAAAGTAAACTCATTTGTTCCGGACAATTATTGCTGGAAAAGAAAAAAAAATACTTAGGCAATCTTTCTTATCCGAGTGGTGGGCGCATCTGCGCATATTTGAGTGTTTCATCTGCCTGTTTTAGTGCAAAAAGAGTCACTCAACAATCACTCTAAAGGATGAAAAATGGGGATTTCAAAGCAAAATTGAAATGAAGTTCGATTAAGTCACAGCTTCGGAACAATTATTCTAATGAAATCATACCAAGACCCCGACCAAAGGAAGAATTCATCTCTTTTTGTTTTTTTGTTATCTGTTGGAGAACACAGACAACATTTTCCCAGAATCCACCCCTACTGAACCAGGTGGCGAGCTTGTTTTTAGTGTTTGATTTGTGTGCATGAAGCTGGTCAAAAAATCACATAGCACCATAGAACTGTTTATTTATTTGTCCGAAAACCATCTCCTCAGACCCAAAACGCAAACAGATATGAAGGAACTCTGACATCACGCTGTTCGATTCACATAGTGTATTTTTTGTATGTCTGTGTGCATATTGTGCGCTTATAGTGCATGTGTAAGTGTGTGTGAGACAGTTAGACGCTCACACATACGCACACGCACTGAGTTCAGCCGATTTATCATAATATGCTTTATCTGAAAAGTAAGTATCTTACCTCGGGATAAAGGGAGGAAAGAGGGGTTTGTGGCCAGACTGACAGAGGAAGGGTGGACGGAGAGAACCAAGCCCTGGCTCCGGTGGAACTCAAAGAGCTGCACCTGCGTTTCTATCGCTGGATTGATCACGATTGATAAGGTATGGAGTCAGTATAGGCGGGGGAGAGAGGTGTTGACCGAATGGGCCACGGTGGCGCGCGCCAAGGGGGGACTGAGTGGTCGAAACGCACGAGAGGGAATGAACGTGGGACTCTCTGAGATGGGACTGGTGGAAGTTAGAGCTCTAACCAGAAAGAAACTGGGTGTACATTTTTTGAGTGGATGAGGTGAGGAAGGAGGAAGTAAAGAGTTGAGGAGCACGGTAATATACAAAAAAAAACGGAGCAGAAAAAAGTGGGAGCAGAGAGAGAGGGAGGCAGATGGGGATTGGGGAGTATGGGAGGGGCGTCAGGACAAGGGACAGAACTGGTGAAAGCTTTTCTCAGGGTCTTGCTTTTAAATGATTTTTTTTTAGACTTTTAAAAAAAGTTCGATCACTCGCACAGGGTGTCGTTTCCAGGTGACATCGGTCTTTTTTAATGCTGTACACTCAGAAACGCTGCTTTTTGTTTGCGTCGATTGAGGTCAATGTGTGTTAACTGGTCTTTTAAGTAATATTAGGATTACTCAGCGTGAGTCCAGGCAGCACCATGTGTCTCTGCATGGTGCTTACATGTCATTTGGAGCAGAAATGGACGGCATGAAATGAGGGTCCCATACAGCATCTTTGCTCCTCTGAATGGCCCTTTTATATAGGGTGCCTTTACATACCATTACTGTTTCTGTATGCATGCACCGTCTGGAAGGATTTGCGTTGCCTCAACTAAAGATAGACTCAGGCCGTTTATATAACGAGAAGCCAAATATAGGACTACACTATATGTAGTTCATTGTATATATAAAAAGGAGGTTTACTTGTTATATAGCATCTGGTCTACGTTTACCTCTCCATACATAACTATTCTGCGTGATTATATAACTTGTTTGTAGCAGTTACATACAATAAGATAAATAAACAGCTTTAGTTCAATTTAAGTATTATTTAAGCCACATTTCTTCTTGTTTCAGTTTTTGTTTTTTAGATATAAACTTTGAGTCAAAAACACAATTCAGATATGTTGCAGAAAATTTGTTTTATGGCTGATTCCTGTTAAACAAAGAACACAAAGCTTTTCATTCGACCTAGGAAGCACCTAAAACGTTCTTTTCTTAGAATGATCGCTGCGATCATTTAAAAAGGACGTTTTTTTTTTTGTTTATTTTATTTATTTTTTTGGTCAACCAGGTAGAATTGGTTCGATG